GAATTGTGTTAAATTAAAATTCGATGATATTATAATATCATTGCTGAAGAAAAACGAATCTGAGCTAAGACAGGAGTCAGCCTATGATAATTATATTTTTAACTACAAAATAATTTTAAATTTTTAAATTTGACAAATTTATTCAAAATTCAAATGTTGAATGAACTTTAATAAAAAATCGACCATGTATTATTAATATATCAAACGCCTTGTATTAATTTTTCACGCTTCTTGATCCAACAAATTTAATAACAAATTGACAATAGAAAAAACTAAAAAAAAAAACGAAAATGTCCGTAAACAGCTCAGAAAGAGTGAAAGTGTTATAGGAATTGATAAAATATAGTGTAAATTGTTAAAATTATATACAGTTTTTAATTAATAAAAATGAGATAAATAATAAATTATGTATGGTTGTGTGAATAATATCAATATTATCCTATGTTGTAAAAATTTGAACTTCAAACACTCATAAAAATTCAATTTGAATGTCCGGTAGATATTTTTTTCATAAAATTAAAAAAACTTACGATTAAAATTTCCAAATCTTAGATTTAAAAAGAAAAATTGTTATGAATTTCTAACATAAAATAATTTGCACATTTTCTTCATTTTTATGTATTTTCTATGTTGCCAAAATTCAAACTTTAAATGCTTGTAAAAAAAAAGTGTGACTTTGTATAATTAATATTTTTTAACTACTATTAGGAGCCAGTTATTAAATTATGTATTACGCTATTTATTATTGTATATTGTATTCGAAGATGTACGCGTGTATTTTAGTCTAAGTAGTCTAACTATATAAATATATAATGTCCTATACTCATTCATTGATATAGCTAGATTACTTAGTATTGTATTTTATACTAAAGTCATCAGTATGAAGTACGTAGTTTATAGGTTATAATGTAATAATTACAGTGCTATACTCGACTATAAAAAGTACCAACATATTATGTAAAATTTGAAAAAAAATTGTTATTTTTATGAAGTCTCGTGGAAGTTATGCATGTAGAAAGGTTTGTATAATATAGTGGCGTAATTTCAGTTTTTGAGAAGGGGAGAGGCAAATATTTTACATCGGTCCATAATAGAACTGAGAAAAACAATTGTCCGTAATAATTATATACCTATAATAACTCTACCTACATATACTACCTAAGCTATACTGTATATAAAAAAGTATAAAACTAGCTAGCACATCCCTGGCCTGATAGCGGCCCGCTAAAGATAAAGGAGGAACAAATGCCCACCCTGCTCCCCAAATGACAACACTGAAGTGTGATATCTATATTTGTGTAATCGTGAGTTTCTTTTAATACGATTTGAATAAATGTATACAACAGTGCAATAATCCATATAGCCTATATGCGGCGAATGTCAATCATTCGCTTGATCCGTATTAATTTTATTATATTTTTTATCTGTAATCGTATTCACATCGTTGGTAAAATGAAAGAGTTTAAGTATCTACATAATAATTATTTAATTATTCAATTATTGATGATAAACGATGACAGTAAATATCAAAGTAAATGGATACAAATATTGTCATTCTGTACAACTGTTAACACCAGTAATAACTTACATTCTCGCTGGAATTTTATTACGGCTTTATATTTTTTTAATTGTTTTTTAACGTTAAAATGGAACAACCTAAAAAACCAACTCGTCGCTTCCCGTCAAAAAAATTATCAGTTAAAAAATCACTAAGCTCTCGAGTGATGAATATTCTAGGAATTCGTGCCAAAACTAAGTATAACTATTTATTGCAATATTATTATCAAATATTATTATTAATTTCACTAAAATTGTGTTAACGAAGTCCCAATCCAGATGTCGAAGAAGTTTTTGCGGAACCTTTTTTCTTAGGTGCTGACAACCAACCACCATGCTCATCGAGGGAAACGATTAGGTAAATTTTAATAATTTATAGCCGTTTCATTGTATGATAACTTAAACCAATTATTTTTATTTTTTATTTATAATACCTACATATGTTTTTTTTAAATATTTTTAGCAAAATGATGGATTCCAAGGACAATGAAGATAATGATTGGGGTACCGAAGAAGTTGTACATAACTTGACAGTTAATGAATCTATATATAATGATCAAGAAACCAAGTATGATTTTTAATTTAAAATTTTATTGAATAGATTAGCCTACTAATTCGGGAATTATTATTAATTTTGAACCAAACTGGTTATAACAATTTTAAAGACTAAACATTATTATTTAAATGTTACAACAGGCCATGCGATGTAAATGAAAGGTCGGGAAGACGAATAGTAGATATACACTACGTTTTTAGTCAAATTAAAAATAGTGTTCATCAAGGGTCATTTGGTTGTTCATTTTTGAACATGACATTTATTTCTGAAAAAAGACACGGACTTAGATCAACATTTAGGTTTCAGTGTGATATGTGTAACATTGTTATGTTTATTAACTCAGAAAAAATGAAACCTGAAACCTTTTTGCCGATAAACGATGCCGCCGTAAACGGATCAATATCAGCTGGAATTGGTTTTACACAATTATCCGAATTGTGTGCGGTTATGGATATCCCTTGTATGTCTTCGTCCACTTTTCTCTCAGTACAAGAGTTTATTAGCAAAAGAATACATGAAGTCGCTGAGGCACAAATGAAAATTGCTGGCGATGAAGAACGTCAATTAGCAATAGAAGCTGGTGAGATAGATAGTGACGGAACCCCTATGTGCACTGTAGTTGCTGACGGACAATGGTCCAAGCGCAGTTATAAGACCAAATACGATGCATTATCTGGAGTGGTAATATTATATAAATCATATTATTATAAAGTTATATAGTATAAATACGTGTAGATACCAGTTTTAAATTACCATTTGTATTTTTCTAGGCAACAATAATAGGTTACAAATCGAGAAAAATTTTATTTGTGGGTATTAGAAATCGATATTGTATCATTTGCCAAAGAGCCAAAAATAAGAAGTTATCTCCTCCTAAACATACATGTTTTATGAATTGGAAAAAAGGTGCTACTAGCATGGAAGCTGATGCCATTGCTGATGGGTTTAAACAAAGTGTAGAACAGCACGGACTCAAATACAATAAACTAATAGGTACGTTATAACGTTTTTAATATGAGTTGCAATACCGCGATATATTAATATACATTAACATTTTTAATACATAATAATTTAACATTATAATATGAGTTATTAACTTATCGTAGTGGACTTAACTATAGTTCATAAATAATGGCCCTTTCGGAATAGTTCACGATGACTGTCTTTGAAATAACATTATTATAATGACTAAATTATCTACAAATTATACCTATTTATGATTGTGTCACTTATACGTGGTCAAATAATAATAATAAATAATATCAGTGGGTAGTAATAAAATTAAATACTCGTATATAGTTTGAACTATCTACTATTTAAAATATCTTTATACCTAATTATAAATAAATATTATACAATTAAATAATTTGATCAGGAGATGGAGATTCAAGCGTTTCAAAAAGGCTTGCTGAAATCATGCCTTATGGTTGTAGACTGCTTGTAAAAAAAATAGAATGTCGGAATCATTTATTGCGAAATTATGGTACAAAATTAACAGCAATGACAATAAATAAAAAATATCCAATTCCACTAAGAAGCCATATAAAGGCAAATATTTTACGTTTTAGATATGCCATAACTAAGGCAATTGAATATCGTAATAGTTTACAGGGGCAATCAGATTACGAAAGAGAAGTTGGTAAGCTGAGGGAATACACTAAATTTTTTGATATCATTTTGATTTTTATATAACTGTTCTATTGAATTTAATTGCATTATTGTTTATGTTAAATAACTATTATAGGATTACGGAAAGATATAAATAATAGTTTTCGTCACATTTTGGGTAGTCATGATCGATGTGAGAAATATTTTTGCAAGTCCGCCAACCACAATTTACCAAATGAAAAAAATATGATTGAAGCTGCCGAAAAATCAGGGTTCTTGAGTGATATATCTCAACTAATATCTCGTTTAGTCACAAATGTTGATAGCTTACTTATGAATGTCGATAACAACGTGTGTGAACAATTTAATAGTATAATTAATAAATATTTAGCGGGTAAACGTATAAATTATTCTCAAAGAAATTCATACAATTCTCGAGTTGAAGCTGCAGTAATATCGTACAATTCAAATGGACAATTTCTTCGTTTATTACACAAAAATATTGAAAATGATATAAGCCCAGGTAACTTTGAAGCATATGCGTTTTTGTGTCAAATATTTTACTAAAAAATAACGTACAATGTGTTCCTGGGGGAAGTGACCGTGGTTAGGCGGTGTAGGTGGTTAGGTTACGTGGCGTTGTCATATGAAATTAAACCAGAAATGTGCAAATTATTATTATTAAATTGAAAAGAGTAAACACTTAGAAATTAACCAGTAGAAAATATTAAATTATTTAGAGTAATACTTTTAAAAATTCTAATTTTTTATGAAAAATGTTTAATTTTCAAATTAATAAAAATATATTTGCACTCAATAGATTTAAGATGAAAAAAAATTATTGAACATTTTTAAAGATACGTAAAAAAAATTCGTGATAAGTTTGGTTTTGATAAAAAAAAATTAATTGCCCATAACTTAAAAAATTAAAAATTTAGACCCACTCTTTAGAGGGTATTTTTTCATCATTTTTGGTATACTTTCATATAATGTGGGTCGGTCCCTTCCCCTCGGAACACATTGTGTTCAAAGAATTGTTTGTAACATTAAAATAAATTATGAAACAATATATTGTTGTACCTTATCATAAATTATATCCTTATAATAAATTGTATTTATATATAGGTATTATAGGAAAGAAATTCATAACATCGACTGAAAAAAAAGAGTACAAATGAAATCTAGAAAACATCTTTTTCCAACAAATATTAAGAAAAAAAGTCATATTGGCCCAGATGAACATTATGGTTTGGCCGAACCACTACCCGTGGAAGAAAATATGTCTAAAGAAACATTACAAAAATTAAAAGAAGATTTTATCAGTTCTTTGCGATTAGATAGAAGTGGTCGTTTAAATATTGAAACACTAACTAGACAACAGGCTAACTCTCAAATTTGGCATTCTGAACGAAGAAATAGACTTACAACATCAAATTTTGGTCGTGTTTGTAAATTACGACCAACCACGTCTTGTAAAAAAACAGTGTACGATATATTATACCGAACTTTTTTTTCAAAGGCAACTGATTATGGTAAAGCCACCGAACCAGAAGCTATTGTTGCGTTGGAAAACATATTAAAATGCAAAGTTAATCCATGTGGACTTATCATTGATGAACATTTTCCTTACTTAGCAACAACTCCAGGTAATGTATAATTCGGAAATCATTAGATATTTTATCAAAATCCAAAATAAACATTAAAATACTAATTAATACATTTTTTTGTATAATACATCACAGATGGTATAATTGATGAAGATTTCGTAGTTGAAATCAAATGTCCATTTGCAGTCAGAGATTCAATTACATTTTTGGAAGCGATAAACTGTAAAAAAGTGAGTAACTATAATATTATAATATTCTAAAATCTACCAAATCTATAATCAATTGAATTTTTAAAATATCAGAGAAGTTTAGTACAAAGAAATGTAAAAGGTTTTCATTATTTTTTATTATATTTTGTTATACCTAATACATTTTTTGTATAGCTATTATTTTGTCGTCTCAATGACAATGGAGCTATGGAATTAAAAATTGATCATCATTATTATTATCAAGTTCAGGGACAAATGCACATTTCTAAACGAAAATTCTGTTATTTCGTCGTCCACTCAAAAAATTGGACGGAAATACAATTAATAAATTACGATGAATCTTTCTGGGACAACAAAATGATTGACAAGTTAAAAATGTAAGTTTTAAAAATTTTTAAGTTTTAATTTCAGGGTCTGTGTATCAGTTACCTACTTGATTATTAATTGTATATTCATTGGACTTTTTTTTAAGTTTTTACATGGAATGCTTACTACCAGAGATAATCAATCCTCAGTATGGAAAACGTTTGCTAGTAGATGATATAAAAGATCCTGAACACATTTTGGAAAATATTAAAACAAAAAACAACATGAAAAATAATTTGAAATAAATTGTAATATTAAATAGTACTGTATAGAAGTATAATATTTTAATCTATTATAAATACGATTTACGAAAAATACATCGTTTAATTTATTACATTATGTTAACTTTTTAATTATTTCACGAAGTCGTTTAGAAACAAGCATTTCACTTTAAAGGTTAAGTTTGATTAAGTATTAGGTTAGTTACGAACCAGCTAGCGTTTCGATTATTTTTATTACTTTACAGTCTTTACCCGCAATTATACGAAATTATAGATATCTATGGTTATTTAAAATTTAAATTGTATATAATATACCTACCTTCTAATCCATGATATTACTATAACACTATGTACATAATATTATCATGACATTTCATTAAATAAAATCATATTATTAAAACAATTATCATAAGCAATATTGATGCGACGTCGTTAACAACATTGCATGATGAAATTATAACATTTCATTTTTAACATTGCAATATATATATAAGATGAGATAATATTTTAGATTTTAAATATCATATATGATTCTGTTGAGGGGTGGTGATCATCTCAATATTAGTGCAGCAGTTCATAGTGTCGTTAGTGTTCTTTCACAGTTCGAGAACAAACCAAGTTGAATACACGTCGTAATTAATATAAACAAACGGAAACTCTAAAAATCAGGTAAGTTATATATTTATACTAATATTATAATACAATAATTAAATGGTTTTTGAAATTATTTTTAATTGTAGTACCTAACTCATTCGTAATTTTAGATACTGAGTATTGATCTTTAGGTTTTTTATGTGACTCTAAAACAAATTATCGTAGATATATGAAATTTTCACTAATTATTTATACAATGTACTCTCTGTAATTTAAACCTTAAATATCGAACAAATAAAATTCTCATTCAAATAACAATAATAACACATTATAATTTTGATAAATCTAAAATGTTAGTAATTCGAATAATTTTTTTTCCCTGTGAGCTTTGAGTTACCGAGAGTACACTGTGTTAGCATTTTCTATATATTATACAATTTTGAAAATATTTTAATTAATGTTGAGCTTTTGAAGGACGAATTAAAATTTATATTTGTTTAGTTTTTTGTTTCTATAAATATTTATAAAATTGTATGTGTTGGGGCAAACAGCTTGAAAATGTAATGCTAGGCTCCTGATATATTATTACAATAGCAGTTGAAAAATAGGGCATGTACCGTTTCCGCCGAAATTTGAAATGGCCGATTTCGCCATCGCCCGTTTTCGCCAATTTAAAAAAGGTTCGATATAATATATTCGATATATATATTTTCCATCAATATACTCCTTGTAAATATTTTGTACTCATAATATGACTTTATAGTCATATTATGACTTTTTAATAATTTTAATTACTGTATTTATTAAAACTAGGTATGACAAAATATTATGTAAATTTACGAATAAGTGACTTTATAAGTTTACTTTTTTTTTATTATATTTATTAAAACTATGAAAAAATATCATGTATTTATTATTTAATTTAAAAAAATGACAGTAGGTACATGAAATTTTTACTGAATGTTTATATAAGCATATTCTATACACCATACAATTTTCAAAATATTTTATATTATTTTGAGCTATTTACGGACATTTTCATTTTCTACATTTTTTAGTTTTTTCTTCTATAAAAATCAATAAAATTTTATCTGTTGGTTAAAAAAGCTTAAAAATTTAATAGAAAGCTCCTAGTATATTGTTTTAAAGGTAGAAGAGAAAAATTAAGAATCCTTAGTCACAATTTTTTTTATAAGCATTTAAAGTTCAAATATTGACAAAATACATAAAAATGACAAAAAATTTGCATTTTCTATACACGATAACATTTTCAAAATATTTTGATTTATTTTGAACTATTTAGGGACATTTTCATTTTCCATTTTTTCTTAGTTTTTTTTCTAAAAATATCAATAAAATTTTATTTGTTGGTTAAAAAGGTTGCAAATTTAATAGAAGGCTCCTAGTATAATATTGTTTCAAAGGCAGATGAAAAATATTAAAAATCGTTAGTCACAGTTTTTTTTTATAAGCATTTAAAGTTCAAAAATTGACAAAATATGGAAAAATCACGAAAATTAGCAAATTATTTTAAGTTAGAAATTCATAAAAAATTTTCTTTTTAATTCTAAGATTTTAAAATGTAATACAAGATTCCTCATTAGTTTTTCCACCTTTATTAAAAAAAAAATTTCTAGAAGAAAGTCAAATTAAATTTTTATGACCGTTTGAAATTCATATTTTTACAACATTTGATATTCGCTCGATTTCTCATGTAACGATTTTCTTATTTTGTTGTAATTAAAAAACGAATGACTGTATATATTTGAAAATTTTACTGAATGTTTATATTAGCATTTTCTATAGGTAAACCATTCAATTTTCAAATTAATTTGACTATTTTTGAGCTGTTTACAGACATTGTCAGTTTTCAATATTTTTAGTTTTTTTTTTCTATAAATATCAATAAAAATGTATTTGTTGGGCGAAAAAGCTTGAAAATTTAATACGAGGCTCCTGATATATTGTTATAATAGCAGTCGTAAAATATTAAAAATACATTTGCACATTTTTTTTTATAGGCATTTGAAGTTCAAATTTGGACAAAATTTATCAAAATATCGAAAATTATCAATCACTGTAATTAAAAAATTATAAAATGTTAAGTTATTATAACTAAAGATTGGAAATTTAAAACAAAAATTCTCATAAATAGTTCATACTGTAACCAAAAAATCTAAAAAATACATAAACACAGTTTTTTTTTACAGACATTTTAAATTCAAATTTGGACGAAATGTTTAATATTTATGTTCTTTGACCCAGACTGACATACCGTCTCCGCTCAGAATCGTTTTTCTTATACAATGATATTATATCATTGAATTCAAAATTAATACCTTCCATTATACAGTGACCTCTAGTAACCTACTGTACAGCAGAGCGACATCCACTTACCCGCTTTTTTTTTTAATTTTGTGCATTTTCTTCAATATTTTTGTCGTTTGGTGTAGATATAGGTATATAATAATAATAATCATTTTAGTCAACATTTTAACTTCACAAGATCGTGAAGGTCAGGCTGCTTTTTATGAAATTTGAAATTAATTTTTTAATGTTTTTTAATACAATAAATTCACATCCCCGGTAATAATTTTTTTAATACTATTTATTGCTTAAAATTGGGTATATATTTATATTAAATATTATGTAATAAATATTATGTATATATTAAATATTATATATTTTGTGGTTTTTTAGGTAATCAGTCAATATGTATTTCATCCAAGTACTATTTATAGTCATTTCTTACATCATAAATGTCACTCTCGGATTTATTGCGTACGATTGTGGAGGGTCGAATCTAAATATCACTTCATTTGACAGCTTAGAAGTAGAAAAATGTGATATTCCAACACCAACAGAAACGCAACAGATACAACGAATACAATTATTGCAACACATTGAAACGTATCCAGTTATGTATAAATCATGTTTAATATCTGTGGATTATCTTATAACAAGATGCTCGGCGTTTGAAGATGCGCAAGTGGTGGATGGTGGATACTTTTCTGACATTATCGAACTAGGGAGTGCTCGATGTTCGGAGGTCCATCAAAAACAATCCTATAATTTTCCACTAGGAGGTGTAGTGACAGACTTAAAAATAAACGAAACAACATATGTTTCAAATACAATGGTGGGGTCACTAGATAAGCATGGCAATTGTAAGGGCGCAATTTTTAAATCAAATAAAGGGGAATGGGAAAACGTCGTTGTCCAAGCAAAATTTAAAATATTGCTATCGGAAGGTATGGCTACAGCGAACACTAAAGATAACGTTCTTATACTTCCAACAGGTACAAAACTCAAATTATCAGACAATTACGGCATTGATGCTTTTAAAGGTGAAACCATCTGGTCAATCAGTAACATAAACTGTGAAGAACACGATTTCAGTGTCCTATATGATGGGCCAGCGTCATTAATTACGTCAAATACTAAAAGTCAAAAAAACCTTCGCCTGCACAGGAATCCCAGTCATTCAGACTGAACATATGCAGTTATTAATTTTAACAGAACCTACATTTTTTAATTATTTTACACGAAAAACTATAACAGCTCAAAACACTGATTTATTAGCCTACATAAACACTAAATTTGTCTATGTCGAAAATTTCTTTAAATCAACGATTACATCGTTGTACAATGATTTAATACTAAAACAATGTGAGCTAGAGAGAAAATTACTAGAGCAACGACTCACATTAGCGTCTTCTAGTCTTTCGGAGTTTGCGTATTTAATGGGCGGTGGACCAGGGTTCACGGCAATAAAAGTCAGTGAAATAATTTATTTAATCAAATGCAAAAAAGTTAACGTTGAAATATCACAAAAAAAAAATTGTTTTAACGAACTACCAGTGTTATACAATAACAAAACATTATTTATGGCGCCCAAAACACATATTTTACAACAATTTGGAACACAGGTGGACTGCAATGTACTTCTACCACCTGCATTCGAATTGGGCGGTGATTGGTTTGCCATTCTACCAAACATACAGGAAATTAAGAAACCACAAAAGCTTAAACCATCCACGTCCTGGACATGGTCGTACAAAAGTCCGGATTTTCTTATGAATGCCGGTATATATACAAAGGACACAATGAAAGCTTTTCAACAGCATATATTGTTCCCGCAAGAAGTGAAAGCTGCCACAAATAATTTAATCAGACAATCTATGGGATATGATACGACTAATCAAGGTCTGCAATTTAAATATTTGATAGACGAAAACACGCTTGGAAAAATGGTAGAAGATAAGCTATTTAAATTATGGGGTTGGTTTACGACAATTGGAACTTTTGTGTCTGGGCTAATGGGTATATTCTTTGTTGCAAAATTGATATTAACACTTGTTGACACAGGTATTAATATTACTTTTTTATATCAAACCTTTGGGTGGAGTACAAAGCTTCTAGCGGGATTTTTTTCTAGCATTACTCATAATCTATTACTAAGGTCTCATAAACACAATAATTACACTAAAAATCAAAAGTTTGATGAAGACTCTTTAGAAAGAAAAAATGTTCAGCGTCATAATAATAAAGTCAATATTTATCCAAATTTAATGGTTTAAATCCATCAAAATTAAAAAATTAAAAATATTTAATATTAAATATTTGCACCCATTTTTATTTATTATTTTAAAACTAAGTAATACAAATATTTGTATCATATTTATTTATTAATATATTTATTTATTTAACTTGTATACCTACAAATTAATTTTACATGGGACTATAATTGTTTTTTTACTACATCGCAAAACAAATATGTAAAATTCTAAGGGCATAATATTATTTATTATATTATAATAAATTGTCATTAATCTAAATGTTTTGTTTCAATTAACTATTATATATAACAAATGTGGTCTGTACATAATTTAATTTTAATTTATAAACATTATATGATATTATGATCAATGAACATGTTTAGTTTATACAGATTGCTTTTTTTTACATAGGTACTACAAATTGCAATTATATAATTAATATATTATTTTATTTATATTTATTTAATAAACATTATGGACAACATCAACTTCATATTATATGTATTATATGTTTAAAATTAAAATAAGATTATATTATATATTATATTGATGTCAATATTAACTATATAATCAAAACTATTTAAAATGTAGCTAATATTTATTTAATAGATTAAATTATCGTACAAACATTGCTTCATGTCACTTATAAGTTACAACGTAAAATACGTTACACTTTTACTAAAAAATCTATTTAATTCTAATGAAATTATTATTTTACTTGTATTTTAAAAAGTAGATAATTGGGTTAGAAATATAAATCGAGTTATAGAATATAATAATTGTTATGCTTAATTCATTGGTTAATATTTTTATGCAAACAGGAGCTTTAATTAAAAAGTAGGTTTGCGACGTATGAGCTAGGAGGCAGCGCACCATGTAGAATTCATAGGCGACAATTTACGCAACGGTCTGTAATGACGCGAAACGTCCTGTACGACTGTCCGTGAAATAATAATGTACCTCTCCCGCGTTAAACAAGCGGGCCGCGTCGCGTACACGATGGGCGTGGTTACGGCCTACCGCGACGGCGGCGATACGGCGCACAACGCCATCTCTTGAGCGTTGCATTCGTTTCACTTTTACTAGGACGGCCTCTTAATTTAGAGATATCCATAAAACCCAAATAATATGTAAAAATGGTCCTAGTAATATAAATGTATTAGTAGTGATGTAAATTTTAATGAACATTTTTTGTTGTAAAAAATTTGGTGTTTTTTTCCAAAAAATTGTAAAATAGGAAAGTTGTGTAACTTCTTATCAAACAAATCCCTTGTTATTTTTAGTTATAAATTTATAATATAATATTTAACCTACATTATTATATTTAAAACTGTACTTTTATCAACATTTACCCTTTTTAATATTATTTTCATAGTAGGTAAGTATCTGATATAGATATAGGTTATCTGGTAGGTACCTACTACTAAACATAATATAGGATATCCAAAATACAAACAAATTAATCTGCATTAATTTGCATTTTAATCTACTGTTAAATAAATTAAATTTTTTCTTTTTTTAATATTTTTTGTTTGAGTTATTTATACAACTGTACACAAACTGTTTTTTATAAGTAGTTTTTAGTTATTAAAATTTAAATGTTATCTAGTTTTAACATAAGACCACAAGTCAGAACTATTTATAATTGATAAATATGTTTTTTTTTTTAACATGTAGATTGAAGGTAGGTACCTCTAAGTATATTTTACTTCTATTTAATATTCACAATCGCTTAATTCCTAATTAAATCATTAACATTTAATTAACATACCAATTGTACAAGTGTAGAACCTCAAAAATAACTACGTTAAAAAAAATATACTAAAAAACAACATTTTCAAAGAAAGTTGAAAATTGTCAAGCTTACATCCCTGGATATTAAATCCAATATTACATCTGTTTTATATTTTTGTAAAATCACTTTTGATGTCTATTATTATCCATAGAATAAACATTTTAATTACAGAAACTAGGTACTCATTCTAATTTTAACTAGGTAGATAAACATTTTCTAAAAAAAATCCACTTAATAATTTAGAGTGAAAGCCAGAGATTTTAATTTGAAAAACATATCACCACAGAATACTAACACAAAAAAAAAATTAAGAATTCGAAAAAACGGTCTTTGAGTATATTATTTAAAAGTACCAAATAAGAATTTGAATGATTTCATTATCAAAAGAAAAATGTGGGTGAGCATGCATGGTGAATCACTCTGTATATAATGTATCAGCAATTGGGTCATCAAAACGTATACTGTGAATAATTAGTTCATTATTGTTTTTATGCTAATATTATGGTTGACCTACTACCATAATAAAATAATTGATATATTTTTTTTTTTAGGTAAAAGTGTTGGGCTTTTAAACATCCGTTGCACCACATCGGCCAATATCGCTGAAAAATTCGAAACTCAGTACAAAAGTCAAAAACATTGTGAAAAATGTTATGTACGACAAATATTTATACTTCTCACTAAGTTTTTACGTTTCCTAGACAGTTCTCCGTCGCAAAACATCAAGAACAATACTGTTTTGTATCGTCATAAATTTCCTTACCCACTTATGATGACGTTATACAATATAATATTCTACCTCCACATGATCAATAATGATTTTTTTTTTTCATGTAAGTCCGAACTACATTTATTCACGTAAGACACACATTGTGCCCGTGTGTGTGCATGTGGGATTCACGAGTGTCCTTATACCCGCGAGAAAATATGATAAAAGTGTAACCTTGTAAAAGTATACGTTTACTATATTATTTTAATACCAATGTTGTTATTAGGCAGGTTCAACGAACAAGGACGATAATATTTTGCTCTGATAACGGCACAAACGGCGTCATCGTTGCATGCCATCAAAAATATATTTAATCAAGAGCAGATATTATATAATAGTGCATTGTTATTAAACAAGTTGAAAAATATATCACGGGACTGCGTGTAATGCAATAAAGAAGCTGTTTCTCTTCACGGCAATCAACCTTGTTCCTCGTGTTTTCTGCTCTCCCTGCTGTATAAGGTCATCGTTCGTTATTTCGAAAATTGAACTATGCGCATAGTCGAATATACCTACGGCAGAGACGATATTATACACTTTTACACTTTTATATGAATACGTCTTCTCTATAGATTTCGAGTCTGGACGGATGATTATTTTTCAAATATTAGTACTTATTAGATTTTATTATACACTGTATCATAGATTTTTTTTACTTAACTAGCCGAATAACGAAAAAATTTCGCCTGTATGCGGTTTAGTTTTGTCGAAAATCCTAAATGGTATCTCGGTTTGAGTGTATCTCAGTTTTAGCGTACCTCAGTTCAAGGACAAAACGGCGTCAGCGCACCTACCTTGTGTAAAAAAATCGGCCTAGATCTAGTCTCAAATCACGGATTGCATTTAGCACTTGGTAAATATTTTTTAACGTGGTTCGACTTACTCTCTAAACTTTTCTGACATCTCTAAAAACAATCTCTGAGATTTTCGTCGAATTCAATTGAGTAGTTTTTGAGTATATAAGCTAGTAAGCTACACACATACATATGGTTTTAAGATATAGTTTCTTTATTCGAGGCTATGTAAACGCGTTATGCGACGACCTGATCTGCCTGAGTAACCAATGGCAACCATTTATTCCAAAAAATAAAACAGAAGTTTCTACCATTACTTTTATAATCTGCAACCAATTCCAACCTTTCATAAGCAAAAAAAAGTTTACATTTTTTCTTATCGCAAATCTAAATCATTATATGAATCACTATTCCAAATTTCAAGTTCGTACGTTTTGTAGTTTTTGAGATGTCACGATGAGTGAGTGAGTTAGTGGTATTTGGCTTATATCTATATTGTATTCTATATATTGTTATAATATAATATAAATTATAAATTAATATAGTATATCACGTATGCACACCTGTTTGAGATTCTTATATTAAAAATATTGTAAGTTTGTAACCAATAGGTTTTAATACAAAATAAATATTTGTAGGAATGGAAATATCTAGATAGTATACAAGAAGTTAGCCATTTGTTGGTTGTTATCGATCAAATTTGAATCCAAATAATATAAGAACATTTAGTTTATTAACAGTGTAAGTAAAAAAAAAAAAACATTAAATAAACATCAAATACCTTCATCTTATTTGGATTAAAGACGTAAAGTAAAAAGAAACAATATTTATCTAAACTATCTTCACACCAAGTAGCTAATTTATTTTATTTCATTTTTTATTTAATTTAAATCTACATTTATGTTTAATAAGAAAAGGTCAGATATTTATCAGTACAGTAATATGGACAACTTTCTAAAAAATATTTTATTTCTTGAAATTCATTTTGAGCATTTCATATTTTATTTTATTATATTTTCTAATAAGAAAAACATCAATAATTTAAAGCAGAGTTAAATCGAAGTAAAAAATATTTGCTTAAAAAATACAAACAATTTTTTGATTTGTTCAAATATTTTATTACTTTCAATATTTTTCATGGATTTTTATGTAATTTGTAATTTAGTTTTCTGAAATAGCAAAAATTACAAATAAAGTGCTAAAGTAGCTGAAGTGAATTTTCGTAAACGAGACTGTTTTCTAACTTGAAGACGAATAGGTACTTCCAAAAAATAAAACAAATAACGTTTGTATACTCAGCTTATAGAAAATGTAACAAATCCATAACTTTGTTAATATCAGATATTTAATTAACAACAGTCAACAATTATTGATTCTTATGTAAAAGTATGTTAATAAATAAAATGTAGTTAATTATTTTCCTATTAATATTATTTATTATTTATAATTAAAATAAAATAAAATAATTAATGTACGAATCTTCCATGTGTGTGTGTGTTGTTGTGAGTGGGAGGGTAAAATAAATATGCAAGGACGGAAATAATATGTGAAATGGACAAGTGTGTTGATAAACCTTGCTACGGCTCTGCCCGTAAATTGACAATTTTTCATAAATGATTTTCTTATTTTGTTTTAATTAAAAAAAGTAATTACCATAGATTCT